AGTGAGATGTGTGAGAAACTATGCTGAAATAAATCTTTAAATTCTTTTTCATATGATGCTTTTAATGAATAAAGGAAGCTGTTTTTACAATGTACAATTTTTAATGATAATTATTTACTTATGAGTAGTATGTATCGCAATAAACAAATATGCTATTAAACTTTGTAAGCTAAATTTGATTCATTGAACTGAGACTGTATCTAGTTCTATAAAATAACCATTTCCCAGGTAATTTGCAAATGAATAAGAATCATTTGATGTATTATTGATGGTGTGTAAATTGATTTAGCCCCAAGTGTATAGTAGTAAGTAGATAGTACTACTATCTACAGTCACTGAGTTAGGACTGCATGTATGGAACACAATCGGTATGACAATCCTGCCTATTTTAAAAGTCCCTCTTTTACCGCATCTCGCACAGGCTACTGAAAAGCCATAATTTTGACTCCCTCTGACTATATTTTATAAATTAATTAAAACTAGTACAAGACCGAAACATTATTCAAATAATTGTAAGACAAAGTTGTATCCACCTCACGCGCTTTGGTAAATAAATCATTTTAAAAACGCAGCGGAGTTATTATTCCTTTCTGAGTTGTTTATTTAATTTACACAATTTCTGTTCTGAGTTATTTACTAAATATACATAATTTTTCTCCTCAGTTATTTATTTAATTGACTTAAATTCTTCTCTTATTTTATTTATTCCATGTATAAACAGTTATTTATATACATACAACATTCAATAACTATTTGATCATTAATAAATTATAATTATAACATGAAAATCAAACTTAAAACACAGTAATTATTTCATAATATCAGATATTTGATCTAGAATGCGGTGCGACTCCCTCAGTCTTAGACTGACAGCCGAGGGATGCGGATCAACTTGGCAAACATACATGGACCTTAACCTTCCTTTCGGAATTTCTTTAATTTAATTTATTTATTTACTTTCCTTATTAAATAAGATTATTTTATATTTACTTTTTAAGTTTGCTGTATAATAAATAATTGTAGTGCGCATGCGCTACAGATCCGGTCGTACCCATCACTACCTCGAACAAGTGAGTTTCACGATTTGTTCGTTTTTAGGTCTTATATTTCGCTAGATCCGGTCAAACCCATCACTACCCCGAACAAGTGAGTTTCACGATTTGTTCGTTTTTCGTTCTTATATTTCGCTAGATCCGGTCAAACCCATCACTACCCCGAACAAGTAAGTTTCACGGTTTGTTCGTTTTTCGTTCTTATATTTCGCTACTTGCTTCGGGGTCCTTGACACCCCAGATACCATAATGTCGGTATTCAAAGAGTGTCGTTAGTACATTGGGGTCTTCGACACCCCAGATGCTATAATCTCAGTATGTAGAGTATCATTTGTGTTTTGGGGTCTCTGAAACCCCAGATACGACAATGTCGTTATGCAAAGAGAGTCATTGATGCTTTGGGGTCTCCGAAACCCCTGATACCACAATGTCGGTATCCAAAGAGAGTCATTGGTGCTTTGGGGTCTCCGAAATCCCAGATAGCATAATGTCGGTATGCAAACAGTGCCATTCATACTTTGGGGTCTCCGACACCCCAGATGGTATAATTTCGGTATGTAGAGTATCATTTGTGTTTTGGGGTCTCTGAAACCCCAGATACTATATTGTCGGCATGCAAAGAGAGTCATTGGTGCTTTGGGGTCTCCGAAACCCCTGATACCACAATGTCGGTATCCAAAGAGAGGCATTGGCGCTTTGGGGTCTCCGAAACTCCAGACACCACAATGTCGGTATGCGAAGAGTGCCATTCATACTTTGGGGCCTCCGGCACCCCAGATGGTATAATTTCAGTATGTAGAGCGTCATTTGTGTTATGGGGTCTCTGAAACCCCAGATACCATATTGCCGGCCTGCAAAGAGAGTCATCGGTGCTTCGGGGTCCCCGAAACCCCAGATACCACAATGTCGGTATCCAAAGAGTGCCATTCATACTTTGGGGTCTCCGACACCCCAGATGGTATAATTTCGGTATGCAGAGTATCATTTGTGTTTAGGGGTCTCTGAAACCCCAGATACCATATTGTCGGCATGCAAAGAGAATCATTGGTGCTTTGGGGTCCACGAAACCCCAGATGCCACAATGTCGGTATCCAAAGAGTGCCATTCATACTTTGGGGTCTCCGACACCCCAGATGGTATAATTTCGGTATGCAGAGTATCATTTGTGTTTAGGGGTCTCTGAAACCCCAGATACCATAATGTCGGTATGCAAAGAGAGTCATCGGTGCTTCGGGGTCCCCGAAACCCCAGATACCACAATGTCGGTATCCAAAGAGTGCCATTCATACTTTGGGGTCTCCGACACCCCAGATGGTATAATTTCGGTATGCAGAGTATCATTTGTGTTTAGGGGTCTCTGAAACCCCAGATACCATAATGTCGGTATGCAAAGAGAGTCATCGGTGCTTCGGGGTCCCCGAAACCCCAGATACCACAATGTCGGTATCCAAAGAGTGCCATTCATACATTGGGGTCTCCGACACCCCAGATGGTATAATTTCGGTATGCAGAGTATCATTTGTGTTTAGGGGTCTCTGAAACCCCAGATACCATAATGTCGGTATGCAAAGAGAGTCATCGGTGCTTCGGGGTCCCCGACACCCCGGATAATATCAGGTCCGTATGAAGAGGGCACAATCAGTATAAGTTTTTTCCAGAGTTCATTTAATTTACTTCATTATTTTTTTTTGCTTATTAAATAAGCTCATCAAAGCGGATAACATGTATTATACCCCTCTTCTGGGTCCCAGCCGAGGACTCCAATTATTTTACTTTTTCCAGTTATTTATATAATTTTACCCTCATTGTGGGCCGAGGCCATCTCAGTGGCCCTTACATCCCTGCATTTCTTCCATCGCAGCATTCCTTCCATCACAGCATTCCTTACATTCCTGCCTTCCTTAAATAAAAAATTTTTTTTTTTTTTTTTTTTTTAACGTGGTGGAAATCTTCAGAAAGACACCTTCAGCCCCCCTGGGGAGGGGCCGGAGGTAGTGTGGGATTTTTACCCACTAAAACCACCACGGTGGCCTGCACTAGAGCGGAAGGGAGGGTCCTTTGACCCTCCGCCATGTGCCTAACTCCGCCGGAATCGGGGGCCACACCCGATGCCGGCACTCCTCCGTCCGCGTGTAGTGGAGACCGGGGCCCCAGCTCCGGATCCCTACGGAATTCCTTTACATCCCTCGTTCCGTTACATCTCTTCATCCCTTAAATCCCTACATTCTTTTCATCCGTACATTCGTTACATCTCTTCATCCCTTACATCCCTACATTCCTTACATCGCTTCAGCCCTTACATGCCTACATTCTTTTCATCCCTACATTCCTTACCTCTCTTCATCCCTACACTCTTTTCATCCCTACATTCCTTACATCACTTCATCCCTTACATCCCTACATTCTTTTCATCCCTACATTCTTACATCTCTGCATCCCTTATAATAAATATATTATGAAGACTGCTTCGAGCAAAGGTAAGTAAAGGTAAGTTCGAGAATTTCGCGAAAATTTCGAAAAAACATCGCCCCCTAGCGGCAAAAATGTGAACTAAAAATTTCGATGTCGAATAAGCGCCATCTGGTTTTGGAAAAAGGAACTAAAGCTTGCTCAATTTCTGGCCCTCTGGCGGCAAAAATGTGAACTAAAATTTCGATGTCGAATCAGCGCCATCTGGTTTTGGAAAAAGGAACTAAAGCTTGCTCAATTTCTGGCCCTCTGGCGGCAAAAATGTGAACTAAAATTTCGATGTCGAATCAGCGCCATCTGGTTTTGGAAAAAGGAACTAAAGCTTGCTCAATTTCTGGCCCTCTGGCGGCAAAAATGTGAACTAAAATTTCGATGTCGAATCAGCGCCATCTGGTTTTGGAAAAAGGAACTAAAGCTTGCTCAATTTCTGGCCCTCTGGCGGCAAAAATGTGAACTAAAATTTCGACCTCGAATCAGCGCCCTCTGGTGGCGAAAAAAGGAACTAAATTTGTATGGAATGCAGGACTATAAGTGATAAAAGGATGTAAAGGATACAGGCATGTAAGGGATGCAGGGATGTAGAGATATAAACAAGGCAGGAATGTAAGGGATGAAGCGATGTAAGGAATGTAGTGATGAAAAGAGTGTAGGGATGGAAAGAGTGTAGGGATGAAGAGAGGTAAGGAATGTAGGGATGAAAAGAATGTAGGGATGTAAGGGATGAAGAGATGTAACGAATATAGAGAGGTAAGAAATGTAGGGATGAAAAGAGTGTGGGGATGGAAAGAGTGTAGGGATGTAGAGAGGTAAAGAATGTAGGGATGAAAAGAGTGTGGGGATGGAAAGAGTGTAGGGATGTAGAGAGGTAAGGAATGTAGGGATGAAAAGAATGTAGGCATCTAAGGGATGAAACGATGTAAGGAATGTAGGGATGAAAAGAATGCAGGGATGCAAGGGATGAAGAGATGTAAGGAATGTCGGGAAGTAAGGGATAAAGAGATGTGAGGTATGTAGGGATATAAAGGATGAAGCGATGTAAGGAATGTAGGGATGGAAAGATTGTATGGATTTTTGTTAGGTAGAATATTTAACACGTGCAATCAATATCGACATACATTTTGTTATATATTCACAATTTGGTAATAGAAACGTTAAACGTAACAGATAGCCTTTAAAATTTATTTACCTGAAGGTAGCTGATAGACTAAAGTTTGTTCTTCAGTCGCTGAACTGCAGGAATGACATACAAGGAACGAGGAAATAATGAAAAACCTCCTCCGCGTGCCTGTCTATGTCACGCGGTCGGTATAGAATTGCTAATAATTAATGAATAACTTATAGGATGCTCTATGTACCATCTTATCGACGGCGGGAATTTAAATTTGAATAATCCGGTGCATTCAGTTTGTAAATTTATAAAATGGTTATATTCAATAAAGGGGAAAAATTATAGAAAGTGGAATAAACGAAAAAGTCATGTTTGCTGAGAAAACAAATCGACCGCAAGCGTGTGCGATTTACACTTTTATTCATAAAATATTTTCTAATTCAATTTTGATATGATACAATGGTTCCTGTCCTCGCGTATGCGTATATTTTACGTTATATTCGGCTGTACATTAAAAAAAGAAGGAAAAAGAATCCGATCGTATGACAATGTTTCCATAATGTTAACGAATCACCCTCGCGCTTCCTATCTATCCTAAGATGTGTACACAGCTGATTATATCATCATGTATGGTTGTGTGCAAACCAGGAGATGTAGAATTGTGTGCAACTTAAGTTTCCCTCGGTTAAAAGGAAGGTAAATGATAGGAGATATTTTCCCCTAGGCTTAACCTTACCAAGAGGAGCTTACGTTGCACCAGAGTGCACATACCAGTGGAAAAGAACATTAACAATAAGAAGGATACTTCGATCTACGATAAATCACAATCGCATAGGCAAAAGCAAGACTAAACTTATAGGAACATGTTCGATCGCATAGATTAAGTACTCCGGTGACATTGAGTACTTTAAGATTCAAATTTTGTAGAACGACAGAAGAGCAACGCTTAAGACTTTTATATTTTATTCCATTTTAAGGCTCTGCTTTATCTGTTCTAAGACGATGTTAAACCGATTGTTTATCGCAGATCGACTCACATTTTATTGTTGAAATCCTTTTCTTACTCTCATAAACACTACCATACGTATCATATATTCTCACAATGCAACAGGTACAGTGCCCAGCTCACTGGCCTTCCCTAAGGAAAACGACAACGCTAAAGAAGACTGAAAGTTCCCTATATCGCCTGTCTCTTAGGGATCCCTAGCGTGCTCGGTAGTTACTCCCTCTTGATGCCATAGTATCTATTACAGCGTCGATCGGTATCTTTTATTTTCGCGAGTGCCTGTGTCTTTGCTCTGCGGTTATTTACAACACTATTCGCTACACTTTTTACAAAGGTCTACACACGAAGCGTCACGACGTTCCGTTACTTATAGGATGCCAACGTGGATTTATTTCCGTGACTCTTCGCGATTTACAAGAAAAAAAAAAAAGAAATGAAGGCGACGTCTCTTTGATATGTACCGTTTCCTCGAGAAGAATTAGAGAATCTGAAGGAACTTTCTCTGTCTCGTATGCTATACATACGTATATATTTATCTATAATTTGTGTCGCGAAACGAATAATTGTTTCACGCACGACAGGTCTCTTTTCTCTTATCGAGTTTTTACTTTTATTGTCACCAGTTTTGAGTCTCTAAAACGTAGAAAGGCATATCGGTCTCGGTGATTTTACAACGGCTGCTCGGTTCGATTAACAGCGGCGACGATTGTCGGTCTTATATATATGTGTATATATATATGTATATATTCCTCGCAACGTTTTGCGTTCAATTAACATCCTTTAGGCCATTTGCTCGAGGTATATTGACGATCGAAGTGGATATCACGCGTACGAATATTCATCTTTCTCGTTTTTAATTGAACATCGATTAACTCGTGAGTTTATTAGAGAATCAACGAGAGGATTGCTCGTTTTCGGTTGAAGTAAAAAGCGATTACAAGCTAAATACACACATCTCGGTGACTCAAACGAATCATGCTGGCCGAGAAGAGAAAACGTTTATTCGTTTCCCGTACAACTTCTCAAGTCGATGGAAATTTCTCTTTACCGTGACATAATTCGTTCGAGTTGCACGGTACATCGATCTCGAACAATTCGTGAGTGTGAAAAACGCGTGGGATAAGAAGGAAGTTCTCCCCCCACGCGATACAGTAATATCGATGAAATGAATTTTCCTTTTTCTTTAATCTTATCGTTATTTACTTCATCAATTACCGTAGAGAATAACCTGAGATAGATACACAGCGATAGGTTGCATTTCGTGTGTGCATTCGTGTTGCACAACACTTGATCAAATACCCATGAAACCACCAATGGAGAAAGTTCTCTCGTACACGAATCATTTGAATTCGATGACCGTCAATCGATCAAAATGATCTGAATACTATTTTTATTTTGTTTCTTTAACTCGATGTAGCTCGTGTGTTACGTTTATTATTTATATACACGTTTCAAGATCAACAGACGATATAATAATAAATTTGGTCGTTACATCGAACTTCACTCAAAGCCTGAAACTCGTCGAATTCGAACTAAAAAACGAAAGGAGAAAAAGAAAAAAGAAATCCGTGTTTGGCATCTTATTCCCGGTTTAAAAATCGTATCCTGTCCCCTTGAGTCGTCGACGACGTTACAATCTAATTAGTTGGCGGGCTCACATTTGAACTGAATCTCTCCCTTGCGCTCAATCTTTCTTTCTCTCTTTCGCAGCTTATATCATATCATCATTACATATCCCAACAAACGACTAGATCACGATGGTTGGATCTCAACCAGATCCTTAAATGCTACGGAGCTCGTGGTCAAGCTAATTCCAAGTGAACGATATATTATTTTTATCAAATATAAACCACTTCGCTATCAAATAATATAACATACAAATACAGTGATACAAATAGGCAAAGGCAAAAGAAAACGCAAATATTAATTAATATTGATCTCGATCGACGAACATTTACCATCGTTTTTAATCACTTACACGCGCGTTTCTCGACGGCGAACCCTTCTACACCCCCGGGTGCAATTATTCTCGCGAACATAGATGAATTACACGTGTGTGTGTGTGTGTGTATGCTATATATATATACATAAAACTACAGAAACTGTTCAATTCTACGTGCGCAAACAGCGTTTCAAGCGGTATCCCCGTTATTTAAGGTACTTGTCCAAGGTCCCATCCCTAAACGCAGATGCGAAACACGGTGTCAATATTAAACGCACCCAACAAAAAAAAAAGAACAAAAAAATAAAATAACGCGAGTAATGATCTCTTTTGAACGAGAACGCTTTACGTGTTTAAAAAAATATACATGTAAAAGCAGAAACGAACGACAAAAAGAAAAAACGAATACGGTAAAATCATTACGTATGTTTGTGTATATAGATCTTTCCCAATAGAACGAACGCCGCATCGTTAAAATTAAATGTACATATTCTCGCCTGTGTACAGAAATGATGCCCACGTAAAAGAAATTCACGACTTTTCGTGGCGAACGCGAGTCTTACATGTATTTGTACCAACATAACTACGGAACACTGTCGCGTAAGTACACCTTTCACGACGATCGCACCAAGCTTCCGTAACTTGCGCCGCGTGAACGTCCTTCCTCTTTCTTCTCCCCATCGGAAAAATATAAATAATAAGCGGGATGTGGAGATCGTGACGTCGACGAACGTGTAGGGCGCGCGTGTCGCGAAGACAATCACCTTCAGTCCAAAAATGAGCGACAACGCGCGGAACAATTTTTCATCTCGGAAGGCCCCTTGCGGCTACCAAGGTCGAACGACGCTTCTCTCTCGTCCTCTTCTTCCTCGTTTCATATCCGGTGAATAAAAATAAAAAGTGTCTTTGTAAATCAGCCTTTCCCGTTTCCCGGGAGCGACAGCCAAGGCACGTGGTGTAGTCCGAGTTCTCTTCGCAGAGGAAACAGGAAGAAGGAACGCGAGTTCGATTCGTACGGATGTACAGGATATGTGTGTTTGTGTAGTGTCTTTCGACAAAGCGCTGACCGGCGCGATGTCACTTGTCGCCTCGCAATCGTGCATCGGCTGATTTTTCGATTTTTGCTTGGAAAACCCAGTGTCGCGAAAAGACCGGGCTCTGTGCCTGTTGCATACCCCGTAGGGGCGCCTCACACGCTGCAACCGGACGTGACCTCCTCGCTGTTCTGCTGATGCGACCAACGACACTGGTGACAACTCTTCGGCTCCTCTGGGGCGGATGCCACTCCACCGGACGCCCTCAACCCTTGCTCCAGCTCCAGCAACTGACCCATGAAATTCAGGTTAGGACTTATGATGGGCCGCGCGTTTTTCACCAGCTTGTACGCCTCCACCATGGACAGACCCTTGTGCCGCATTATATACGCGATCGCGATCGTCGCACTGCGCGACACTCCAGCCTGGCAGTGAACCAACACGCTGCTTCCGGCTTTCCGGGCTTCCTCTGTAATTTAGGAAACAAATGTCTTTGTTAGATCATCCTAAAGTTCCTCTTTCCGGAGGAGTAGATTAGATACGAAGGCAGGACTGGCTGTGAGCAATGAAATTTCACTTCCACGATGATTGAATCATCGAGAAAGGGAGGCTTCGGCTCCGTTCCGGCCGAGGAAATTCGTACTGCGTAGGTTAGAACTACCGCTATAGGCCCGAAAGATGGGGGTCATCGACGCTGTCTCGGACCACGTCATCGAGAACTTCTAGGAGGTGAATTACGAGAACGAGCGAGCTGGTGGGCAAAACAAACGGTACGTGCCAGCTCGTTCGGATGACGCGAGATCGCGTTGTAAACGGTCGAACAAAACCGACCGTGTAACCCAAACAGGCGATTCGGTTACGTAACGCGGAGGGACGCTATCGTATCGCCAATGAGTCACGTTGACGCGCGCCTGTATCCAATGCAATGTACTACATACACCGCGAAACGCAGCATGAGAGCCGCTGCAAGTGCACATGCACACGCACGCGGGACTGCGAGCAGCGGAAAAAGCCGACGAATGTCCCGTTTTTGCGGAACAATTCCACAGAGGTTTTCGATTGAAAGAAACAATTATGACTTATGGCGATGGATATTCGAAACTACGAAAGGGTTGCACCGAAACAAATCAGAGATCCAACTACCTTAAAAAAAAAGAGAGATAAAGGGACTTTTGATAAATATTATCCGTCAATTTCTACGACACTGCATGGCGAGAGATAACGTCAGACGTTTTGAAAGATATATCCATGACCCGTTGTTGCCCGCAGCGTCGGCGCCTAATCGCTAATACGTGGCTAAACGTCGATAAGCAGCGGGACCAATCTTATCTGCGCATCGATGCTCGCGTAATAGAAGTAGTTTAGGTAAGCGTTAGTGGAGACACGAGGGGGTGCATCGGCCCCTAAACGCTGTAACACACACGACGGCTAGGGTGTCGTACGTGCGATCGCTCGTGTAGACCCCGCGAGCTGACATCTGCTATGAGTCACAAATGACGAATGGCCAGACAGAGACAGAGAAAGCAGGGAGAAAATCAAGAGTCGCGAGAGACAGGAACCGCGGGTAGGGAAGCGAAGGGGGTATAAATAAAGGGAGAAAAACGAGAGACGGCTGAAACCCTTGCGGATGAAAGCTCGGCAGAGTCGAAGCAGAAATTAGAATGAATTTAGAGGAGCGAGTAGGGTGGATAGATATTTCGGTAACGCATAAAGGACATATGTGTACACAGTGACAAAAAGCTGCGACACCTGTCGCGATCCCGTAAACGATATCGTGTTCCGGGAAATCCGCTGTATTTGTGCCTCGGCGCCATATATTTGCTTTCTCTTAAACCATCATTCTTCGAAACGTAAAATTAACAGTCGAATTTGCAAAGCGTAAAATGAAAAATGAATTTCGAATTCCATCAATGACATTCCTTCCCTGGTTGCATACGCGCACGCTCGTTTTTCCCTCATCGACGTTGCACCAGACGGTTCGGTTTAACGGAAACAGGGTGTAACTAGCCGTTTCCGGTGGACCATTCACCGTGCGAGGACTAGAAGACGAAAGGCTTCCATTCATGAAACCATGAGTCATGGGTGTACGCGCGAGCGCCATCGAATGCACACTCGTAAATCCCCATCACCATGGTGTGGCCCAATGTCGGCCCTCTTCGTATACGTGTTCTGCGTTTATTGCAACGCATTCTGCTGTCCTGTACGAACGTGTGCGTTACTCGAGAACGTAGCGCACGTGTGCATCGCGCACGCATACACCCATACACACGCGACAAACACGTACCCAGAAGGGAGAACCCTACCGAATGTGCAACTGGTGGAATGCTGTACCTGGCCAACCGTCCCCAACACCCGTAGGGACTGTTGCGTGAAATGAAGGGCACCTTGGTGCGTTGACCGTTAAGAAACCTCTCGATGGAGGACAAACAAAAGCAGAGTTTAACCCTTTACAGACCCGAGGACCGTTTCGACTTATCAATTGTAGACGAAGTTCTGGAGATCAAAAGGGGAATTTACGGAGAAATAAACTAAATTCTTAGATTGCTGCAGACGATTTATCCTCTGCTATGCTTTCTGCATTGACCCAATTGTGACGTTAAATTAGGTCAATTAGACGGGACGAATAAATTTCGAAGTCTGAACGGAGCGAGCATGCGCAGAAGTTGGAACGCGGCAAATACAAACAACAATAACGATCGTTATCCGAGGACACACCCATTTCGTTTGAAAGAATTACTCATCGACAGAGGCTAATACCTCTCTGTCACCGCTATCTCTTCTCCTGATGAATTAAACGCAGCCTCCACTCTTTGGAACTCTAACCTTCTGACATTTTACACCGTCAATGCAATTAGACCAATTTGTTGCAGCACGTCTGATCCTTGTATTTTTGTTGAATCACACGCAACAGGTTCAACAGCGTCAATGGAACGACCACACGTTCGTTGAATGTCAGTACGCGTTGCTCGTTTCGACCTATTCAATTCGCTTCTCTTGTTATGCTATGAATGACTATGATATTTGCTAAATCCTCTTTATACTTCTCCACGATTTATAAAGTACAAGTTTTACCGTTTTATTAATCAGTGCTGCCCGCTCGGAAATAAAATCATAATAACGGTATTAAATAAAGAAAGTACGCTTACCGATAAAGTCGAACGCCTCCTCGAAGTACTGCTTCAGATTCTGATGACCGGAATCCGAAGCAGGGATCTGTCTGTAGGTGATACCCCTCTCCTCGTGGTAACCAGGTAGTTGGGAAGTGACGTTGAGGACTCTGGTGGCGCCTAAGGCGCGGAGGAGCTGAAGATCAGCTGCGTCCCTACCGTTTCCAAGGTACAAGAACGGTAGGACACGAGAGGCTGGATGACTGTCGATGTCCGCGGGTTGGGGTGTCGGTGGTCCGGACAGGCTCAACACTGGACAACCTGGTCCTGGACTGGGGCAACCGCTGACCGTCGATGGACCAGCTCCGCCTGCTGGGAGAAGCGTGTCCTCGCAGAGCTCCCTGTGCCGCCTGTGAAACTCCTTGTGTCCACCTGGAACAAGCAACCAGAAAAACGTGTTAGTTAGAAGTGGAAGGCTTTCGGGTGGTGCGAGTTCGTTGGGTGCCTAAAAGGGACCAGCTGGGGAAGGTTCGATCGTGGGAACCGGCCGTGAGAAGTATCGGGTTGCTTTGAAGCAGACGATACACCTTGGAGGTACAGGTTGCGTTTACCCGATACTTTAGTTGCCCATTGCTAATCGGTTTTCGACAATTTTTGACGGATCGATAGACGAGCACTAGCGAGAAAGTGTTTACCGCGTGTCCATCTAACGGCGAGTGCGGAAACTATCGCTGTAATTCAATGTTCGCGAATAACCATGATCGATGATGGGAACAAACGTGTCCTATATGATTCATGGATATTCAGAACTGGACTTTGTATGCTGTACGAAGGATTTTTAACGCTCAACAAACAAAAGTGATGAGTACAACGAAGGAAATGACTCGAGTGTAGAAATTCCATTCTCTTTCCGTGTTCGTTCCGCGGAACACAATGCAATGATTCAGCGACCAGCGAGCCGAATTCTGGTCCGGAATTGTGTACACAGCGATTTCTAGAGAAACACGACGCTGATACACCTTTTCCCGTGTAACAGGTTCGCCGGTACTTCCGCGTGTTAAACCCTGTACCGTTCGCGATGTAACGTGAAAGAACATTTTATCGAATTCGTTGCATCTTTTAGAATCAGGAGAAGGCTCTTTGTGATCTTCCATCGTGTACTGTCCGTGATTCTGGAAGCCCTATCGGAGCTACCCTGTGAATCTTGATTCTTGAAAGTCTTCCGGTCTTAAGAAACGAGGACGAAGCGGTCTTGAAGAGCCAGCAAAAGGCTCTACCAAGTTTCTTTGAATTCTTTCAAAGAAATTTAACCGTTCTTGTTCCACGCAGTGCGAACCCTTCTTCGACCCTACCCCTCGTACTGTTCAACACGGCTGAACACTAATATCTTTACAAATAACTCTACACGGAATTGATCTCAACTTCCTTATAGCTTCTGATCGAGACAGCTGTCCGCAACTGCAGACACCGTATTAGAACCGAGAAACTCCATCAGCCGCGTGTCTGGACTCGTGTACAGACAGGCGAAGAGGAAGCTAGAGGAGGAAACGAGGAACCCGCGAATAAACGGTCGGGATAAAAATAAAGGAACTCCGACGATAGAGTAGGATGACGAGAGGAGGGGAAGAAATGTGGGCTAAAAGTGTCTTCCTCTCCTGACCTGCAGCTCGTAAGGCCTGGCCTGGCTCAACGATGAGTCACTCTTTTAGCCCCCTGCCGTCGCGCCGCCATGACCGCCAACCCCGTGTGTTGCCGGTGTCGTGAGGCCGATGATTATTCCGCAGTCACCGCAACTAAACTTCCTTTCGGCGGGCAAATGGAGGGAGAGGTCCTTCCGGATTCGATTCGCTTTATTTGCGTTACAATTTTCCTCCTTTCCGATAAGCCTGTTTCGTTCACCATACGAATGTAATCGAAACGAGCAAACGTATCGATTTAAATTTTGCCCATAATTTGACTTGTTTAAAATGTAAATCCCAAATCGAGAACAAAGGTGTATGTATACATATTTGAACAGCACGCTAATCTCAACGGGTGACTTAACCAACTCGCCGGAAGTGTATTCAAAAATTGACATTATAAGGTTCGATTTGACATTAAAATGAGCCGATCAAGGATTAAGGTTCGAAGAGGAGAACGTTACCCATACAACGGCGTATAAGTAGATGTAATGCAATTCTGTGACCTAGTCTTAAGGCGTCCGACCGGAAACCGTAAATTTAGCGCTAGACGTGTCGAACGATGTCTCGTATCGACGACACATGTACTCTAATATTTAACACGAGGATCCTTCAATATTCGACTTTTCATGATCAAAAAAACACTTTCCCTCTGTGTTATTTCATCTCAACGACGACAATATAAGATCCCATAAATAAATGGAGGGAATCGTTAAAGACAACGGTTTTTAGTTTCTTTTTTTTAACTGAACGAGTTTGAGAGAAACGCAACAGAACTCGTTACGATCTAGATATGCTGGAAGTGTTACAACCGTGTCGTTTATCGATACACGAGGACATCTAATGGTTTCAAAGAAAATTGCTAATTAAAACGCAATCTGTTGTGATCCACTGGAGTCATGGTGAAATATATCCAACGCCATGGTGACGCACACTGACGTCACAAGTTCACGTTTAGAGCATCGCGATACCCAATGCGCGATCCTGGCGGTGAACAAACGGTAATTAGGCTTAATAGGTCGCAATTATTAAGAAAAGGGGTACACAGATGCGTCTTCGTTCGCAGGCCATTGGCCTGATTTTACACAGCGGCTGGCACACGCGTGATCTTTACCCGCTGACGCGTGCTTCTCGTTTTAGTCCGGGAAATCTGAACTTACTTTGGCAACGTGCTCGTAACGTGCCTTTGAAAACCGGACGAGCACATTTGTCTCTAATTAACGTTGCACAATTTCGCATCCTAGTTTCGTCAGTCGGTGTTTTAGGAATGAAGGTAGCGATGACGATCTTTCAGACCTGTGCTAGAGCTGAGTAATGATCTAATTCAACGCGTACAGTGGACGATATAATAGCCTTCCCTAGGGAGGACCACTCTGCTCGACATTCTACGTGTTCGCACTCTGAGTAATGCTCCAATTCTAACAAGTATAATCTGAATTAAATGAAATAACATCTGATAGCATCGAGATATTAAATCTGCTAATATGCGATCACCCATTTAAGGGTTAATTTTAATGATCTAAGATCCATAGATCCTACCTGGCTAGCATCGTTGACCGAGAGTGTGTATTATAAATAATTGCGAAGAAAATCAAGTCGTTAAGAAAAAATTTCCTCGATTTGCATTTTCTCATAATTTCAACAATTAAAAAGTAACATTTTTTGCAAGCATCAGCGAAACCAGAGCAATGAACCTCGTACAACTTGATTGTTATAATGACCCAAATGAAGCGACCTACATTCTTTCGCTGCGACGATGCCATGCACTCTCTGTTACCCATCGTGTGTGCACGCTCTATGGGGCCCCGTTCTCTTTGCAAAAGTTATCAGTTTCAAATATTCAAGTGCAAAAACATCTTCCCATCACCGATCAAGCGAAACGCATCGAAGGAACTCATCGTGCTGACAACGGGTTAATGTTTGAATATCTGCGATGTGATTTAATGCAGAAAGGCGAGAGAGATCCGATTAGAGGGAACGTGTTCAAACGCAACGCCTCCTGGGGATCTATGGTATTCGTAATTCCGCCATTCTCGAGATTAACTCGAAACGAGTCATCGGGCACGCATTACACCTAAATCTACGATACCGAGAGGACTGAGTCATCACGCGAGAGATTGTATTTACCCGCGTGCCTCGTCCAACTTCGTACTTATCCCGCAGCCGCGGCGAGAAAGACGTTTCAGAAATACCTTTGACCATAGTCGTCGAGTGACGGTGGAAATTAGGTGACCGAACGGTACACGGGTTAACTATTTCGTAGCGAGAGATGCGATTAATCCTCGCACCGTGTCCTCGATGATTAACAATCAAATTTGCGGTAACGCCGTATCGCGTGGTTAAGGGTCAACGTTAGATGGGATCGCGCGATGCCGCGAATATTCGAATATTCAAATTTTTTCATTTTTCAAATGACCATATATTAGGAGAGTTAATCTGATTCTTTGGGGATGACAACCAAAATACAATAACAAAATATTCAAATTAAATAATTTGTTTTAAAATAATCAATTCAGCCTTTGGAGGAATAGATGCACCAAAGACTGGAATAAAAATTAGATTTCTTACCCCAGGGTTCGAGATTTTCCAAAGGGACAAGCCTCAAAACGAGGCACGGTGCTTCCTTCTTCATCCTCATATTTGTTGTGTGCGAGATGATTCCCTCCACGATTCTCAACAGCTCTCACCTCACCATTTGACACACACAAAACAAACGAATTTCTCGTCCTCGATCACTGTCGACGAAACTCCCGAGTATCGCGCGGTTACGCAAACCGACGATTACGAGAGAATGAACAATTACTCTTTCGCTCGGCACTCGTTAACCGTATCCGTTCAAACGTATGTTCTAACTTTTTTAACGACGAGAGACGAAACAAAGCGTGTTTACGCGTTCGCTTCGGAACAGGGATAGATACGTGGCAAAAGCTGTGCTCGCCCTTTTGCTTGTTGGCGGGAGACTGCTGGCTAAGCGGCACGAGAGAGTTTACATGAGGCTCGACTGGATGAGTCATCCGGCTCGACTCTGATTGGCCGACCACTTCGTGACGTACGCGATTTGCGGACGAAGACAGACGAACGTAGTCGAGTACGCCGCTCCGTCTGTGTACCGTCTACTCGTCCTTGTCGTTCCTTCGAAACGACGCATCGTTTTCTCTCTTTTCACGTTCTTCCTAGTTTCGCGGGGCTTCGTGCATTTCGTTGTAGCGACACGCAATGCTCCGCGGCGTCCTATGACGACCTTGTCCCGCGACTTGCTCGTAAATACATAACGTAACGCGGCTTAATTGCCGAAGCATCAATAATTAATCGACTTGTTGGTAGATTAGAATGGAAAGTTTGAAAGTTCGCGCGAATCTTCCGCGTTCGCGCCTAACACGCGTCGATCATCGATGATCCATCGGCGTTTATATGGATTCTCATGAATTCGGTTTCGAATGCATTGCTTTTTTAAAACTAAAGTCCTCGGAAGGACCTCGCTTACAAGGGATGACAGATCAATCCTTATCCTTACTATGACTTGCTAGTCTGTTAACTCTAAGTTTTTCCACGATTCTTCTTATAGGATCTCGTTCGAAAGCAAAGAAACACGGATAGAACTCCCTTCCGTGATTTCTTATCCAAAGAAACCGGTGGTCATTGGTTATTTATAAGAATTTTTGGACGGTCAAAGAAAGTCGAGCACCAGAGGGGCAACACAACGAGACGGAAAGATCAAAGGTTGTCTTTTGCTGGGAGTAAAAATAAATCGAGGCATTATGCGTCTCTTTCGAATACAATGATTCACGGATCTGCACTGGTACTCGTCGACGACCAATGTTACACAATTTTGCTCCGCTAAACTGCCGTCTAATTTTACAACTTATCGTGCTCCTTTACATTTATGAAACGCGCTGTTTGTTGCTACTCGTTACTCGGCTACGCGTGACCCGCGGATCATCAATGATGAACCGACGACGCGACGGGACCATTAACAAGATCGCGTTTCGTGAAATCCACGCTGGTTGAATTTTATGTATGTGATGTATATTCTCGTCTCGTCATTTGCATATAGCGCCCCAAGGCTTTGTCAGATATTTGCTTTTTGTTTTTCGCGCGCAATTTTTGGCAACACGTTCCCATATGTCACTTTAATTGTTACCCTTAAAATAGGAAAGAGATAGCGAGTCAGCGCTATCCAGGATTTCCTGGTCCACGCGACACGTCAGATTTTGGAAAATCCGGGCTATTAAATCAAGTATGATCTTTTCGCAACGCAGTGAGTTATGGAGAGAGGGACGATCTCTTGCGGTCGCGATACAAGGAATCAGAATGATGTACATTAATTAACGTGATAGTTTCTTGAAATTTGTACCTTTGAATCATTCGAGTGGTCACTGCCACATATCGTGTCTCTAATATTTCAGATTCTTCCTCATTAGGATAGTTGAAGATTAAAAAGTACATCTCGTTCTAAGCTCCGGTGATTCATCTTTGATCCAGCTAGTGTCATCGCTGGGATTAACAAGATCTCGAGGGACACTGTCATTTCTCAGAGCAAAACGGTAGCGAATCCCTCGAGGAACGCCGACAAATGATTCAATTCGACACGCGAGATGGAAATCCCTTCAAGGCTGACTAAACGTTTAGAGGGAAACATTCGCCACGCGATCTTACGTATCGCGCTTTCTCAAGAATCGACAAACGATGCAATATTGTCATCGAGCAAAAGAAAGACAAAGATGTTACAAGCGTCATCTAGTACCGCCCATTCCGAGCGCAGGTATACCCATAAAATTCCAGAGAATCTGTCTATTCCAGTTCGTGATGTCATTACTACCTGACGATAAAATTCTTGTAAACGAATGAAACAATCGTTCTGTCTCTTCGTCGTGACCATCGCGAAATGTGAAATCAAAATCAATAATTTTGGACTAAAATAAGAATTTCCAGGATTTTTCACCATTGACCGATTTGAAAACCAACTTCGACAGGATTAGTCAGCGAGGAACGTGGCTAAAAGTCGAGCTTAGTCATTTTCGAGCGAGATCATCCTCTGAAAAATGTTCTCGATCTAATCGGGACGATGAGGGACTTTGATTTCCAGCGAGTGCACTCATTGTCAATGTCTGACGCGTTTCAATGATGCAACGGACGATGATAAATGTGGATAATTATTTCATGTGTATGCCGGGCATGTTTCAATATCGTTTTTTAGAACCGGGTGTAGTCATCGCTTCGATCTGATAAGTTTAATATCTTCCTTTGAAAATATTCCGCTCGAATGTGCATTGAGTGGCACGTAAATAGTAAGAAATTTAATATGAGACACCCTGTAGTTCGTTCCATGGTGGTAGGAGGAATAAACACCTACGTTCTATTTTTAGAGCCTCGATTTTTCCTAACACCTTTAACAGAGATCTAATCAAAACTATATTAGATGACTCAACCAGCCACTCTATATCGGTCATAATTTCTTGCTACGAGCCTTGCCCTCTTTAATCCCGTTAAATGAATTAGGAAAAATAAACGAGCGCTTTTCCATCCATCGTTGCTTTCTATATGATTCGATTCTTATTAAAGTGCAGATAATCGAAAGAGAACCGCGCGGTGAATTCTTAATGATGGATTAATCATCCGATTCCTCGGTGCGCGCATTCTTGCTCGATTTCGAGTAATCGAGAGCACAAGTGGTGGTAAATCGATTCGCAACGAACAAGATCGAGGTATTCAATACATCGACGTGAATCAAATGGTAAACAGAGGCGATATATGACGCCGTTCTTAACGTCTGGTAATACGCGATCCACCATGATTCACCGTGGCGCTCGACGATGTATTGGGAATAAAGTTCATCGATAATACCAGCTAAATAGGGACGATGTATCGATGAATACAGACATCGATGGAAACTTTTCATGAAATCATCGCGATAGATTCTACTTTTAATCAATTAGAATTGTTGGAAACTCCATACACTATTGTTTCATTATTTCAAGTACCGTGCGTTGCCGATCTTCCGGAGAGATCATTGAAGAGTTAATTTCGCGAAACAAAGGATAAGATTTTGAAATCCCAGAGTCTAAAATCTTAATCTCAGTGAATATTTCAATAATTAAAGAAATAATGAAATATGTTTTGATGAAATCATTGACGTTATAAGAACGACGGCGGTTTCGTGGAATACGAGAGACGCAAAAGTAGATATCGATGCTCAATGCGGTTCGCTGTGAGTCACAGTTTAGAGTACCTAAGCAGTGACCATGAATTACACCGCGTGCTTTTGTTTACCAGCTTTCATGTTAGCTAGTTGGCTTGGCGGAGTAGCGTGATTCAGACGCGGACATTTATGCAAGATTTACATAAGTCCGCGATCCTTGCCGCTTGGTCCAGTTCGCGGAAGAGCCATCGATCATAGACGCCATCTTGATACTGGCGAAGTTATCCTGTGTGCCATAAGGATGGCTTCTAGTTTGCCCGAAGCGTACAAGCAATACGTGAACATATTTTCTTATTCGCTTGTACTTTATTTTATATTTGTATTTCGTAAGAGGAATTTTGTGCTGTTCATTAACACAGCTAATTAAGAGAAGAAAGTGTCAAATGTATCAGAGGTGCAAGTGAAAGGATGGCAGGATATAAAGTCTCTTTTCTATCTTCTTTCTATTTGTTTCTAGCTGCCTTTCCAGAGACGATTAACATTTTAGTTTACACGCGTCCACTATGTAAACCTGTCTAGTTAAGAAGGTTTACCGCTTGGGAGACAATTTCAATCGCTTGCCAACACAGCGTACCATTTCCTGTCAAACACGTTGTTTTAAATCGTACATTATATCCCGTGTAACCACACGTACAACGCGCTATATTATATTCAACCACGACAATTTTATCCATCGACTGACTATTTATAAAATATTCACCAAACCTCCTACAAGAATATCGATCAACTTCGAAATGAAATAATTTTACATTTATCGAAACAATTCCATGTAGTCGATAAAAAAAAAGAAGGGAAAATGTTGCTATCGATCGACACGCGTCTCTAAGCGCCGCAATTTCCGCATTTATCTGCTCGATTAGTCACGCTCGACTTTTAGCCGTTCGGCGATGGCAATAACAGCGACCTGTCGCGCCAACGGATAGCCTATTATTACACGATAAAAATTGTTTGTACACGACGCCCTCGATAATACGGATTCTCCATTAATCTTCGATTAATCTTCGTTCAATAAATGTGACTCATCAGGGAGGAAAATGCCGAGAGGAGAGTCCTTAAAACTCGTGGCGTGTGAGTCACGAGAGAGACGAGCTTACTGCTCCATTTCCTTTTAATCTATCGTTCTTTGTGCAATCGTTTTTCCTTTCAAATCCACTGCTCTCTACTATCGTTCTAATGATTTCAAACGAAAATCTGTAAAATCTCTTAATTCTTTCAGATCGAAAGATAGAATTCATACGGAAGCCTGGTTACCCGGTGATCCGCGACGATCATTGCACGCTCGAGCAGAAGGGTGGCGAATATTTATGTATGCCCGGCGCGTGTTTCTCGTTAAGTGATTCATTCATGCTGGAATCCATCGTGACGCGTTCCATGCGTGTGTTCGAGACGAGGCTACACGGATTCCCATCGCGGCCAGGACTCATCAGCGAACGAGTGTGGCAGGTGGTACATGCACGATGCATCGCTCTCCTCCTCGCTGGTTTCCCTTCAGGAAGCGCAGTACGTTAACCGCGGATTACGTGTACACCGTCGCCTCTGTTTCCCGCTTTGTAAACATCGTTTAACCGGTCACTAGGGTGAACGAGAAGCAACGGTACGCGGCGTACGACCGGCAACCCTTTCGCTTTCACTCCGAAACGACCTGGTCCAACGGAACTTGGTGAAAATATTTTTGGTATACACCGTGTAAAACGACACCTGTCAACGAGGGATCCCGACCCTTGATAAGTGGAACAGGGTAGAAAGGGTGCCCGTGATTGACTTCGATCGGGGTGGTGAAATATATGGCTGTATATCAAGAGCGTTGCACAAGAATAAAATATACCACTATTTTATTATGAAGTTTGTATCAATATATGCACACGTCTCGTAGCTGATCAAATATCATTTCAAGAAATTAATCAAACACCTATCACAAATAATCGTCCGTTATTGTTGCGTACACCTGATATCTATAACACTTTCGTTTGCTAATAAATATGATTGATAAAAAACAGCTATTGTAACATGAAATGACAAAAATAAAGTCGCTGAGATATCTCTGGTGCTGTATTGAATAAACCTTACCCCTTATCATTGATTTGAAAGAACGGTTTGTAGCAATTAAGAGAAACGGTACCGTGTCTCTTTTACGACGGACATGCCCGCAGGCAGGTGTGTGAAAAAAAAAAGAGGAATTAGTATTCCTTCGAGGGGTGAAGCTTTTCGACTAGTTAGGTGACTACTCGATTTATCGTCGGCGTTTATCGCGACGCTTATCGTTCAGGTGCTAGCCTCGATACACGACTGTTTAGTCACCCGATTCTGGGGAAAAAGGCAAGAAAAAAAAGGAAAAGAACGGACGCGGTGTGATAAGAATAGGTCGGCGTTGATAAAAAGGAAAAAAGAAAGAGCAATGATAACGCGAGACGATAAGACGAGTCTTGATACTTATTTAAAAAATTTCACTAAATTTCTAGGACTAAATCCTAGCGTATGTAAACGCCTGGGGATCTCTCGTTCCCCCTAATTTTATTAGTTTACAAAAAATTTCTATTTTATTGCTTGTCACGAGAGAAAAGGGACGGAATGATCGTGGAAAATCGGAAGCGTTTATGAATCGGAGCGGAGGATGGATGAGAGAGTTGATAATCGACCGCGTCTGCGGATCACCGGGCGAAAATCAGAAGCCGTGAACGGAAGGGGGACATGGCAGACATGAGGGCCCGTCGGATTCTGTGATTTATTCGAGAGTGGTCCACGTTCTGTCTACGCTCGTGCCACGAATAGCCCCACGTAATCATACCGGCTGTGTGAGTCAGCTCGGGATCGTAGTAGGAAACGGCTGCATTTTCGAAGGACGCCCGACCGAGTACGCGACGCTTTAACTTCGTTCCCGCATTCTTTCCGCGTCCACGCACCACACAGTCTGATTCATTTCGCGCTAATAACCTCGCACGACCCTGAGACTCTATTAACTTGCTGACCTGCTGCTCTCTACCTGCATCTCGACGATCTGGCGACATTTTTGATTCATCGATCATCGGGTACACACGGATCTATGAATGTGTTAGACTTCTATCGTATGACTGCATTGTTTAGAAACTTTTGCTTGTTTATTTATGTTTGTTTCGTTGTCCGTGGAACAATGAGTCATACGCTAGTGGGTGGAATACTAGAACTTTGTTGTGGTTCTCGGTGACTATACATAGGTTGTTCCTTTGTCTTTTGAGTACTCTGTTTATCTCAGCTGAATTAAATCACGTGGAAGAAGAAGAGGTAGTGGGTGTTCTAGGAGGAGGACTGAAGTCATCTAACGATAAGTTCTAGGTGCCAGAATTGGTATTAAGGAGAACCCCTCCGGTGACAAGTGTATCCATTAATGTAATACTAAATTTAGAATAAAAGTACCTATGATCTGTAGCCAGCTAAGCGTTTTGATTCCCTACATGCTTCGTTTGCATTAATGACAGATAGCGATCGATTAGTCAATCGTGAGTAATTGAAGGAGCATTCGCGGGGAACAAAACACGATCACCTGGAATCTGCATTCCCTGACAGCTCTCGCATTCCTCGATCCGACATTGGACTCGAAACGAAGCACGCGTTTCCTCGACACCTCGATTACGAAACGTCTACCGTGCAGCTATTTCACTCGCCGATGACACTCGTCTCGACCGCTCAATCTTCGTTGCATAATTGATTTGGTCTCGATGCATCATCAGTCTTTTGTGTGCTTTTGTTTGACGAAGAGACCGAGGCAAACAATGCCCGAACGATCAAAGAAACGATACGCTACTCGAGTGGAAATCTATAGGGGATGATGAGTCATGGATTAAAGCAAGTATTATTCGTTTTATCGGTCGCGTCGCCACCTCTTATCGACGATTTAACCCTTCCTTCAAAAACAGAAACGCTTTTTCAATCGATCCGAATCAGTCTCGGAGCGCGTTTTATTTAGTTTGCCGAGGCGATTCAATCCGGTACCCGCATGAAGCGAACAGAGGGAAAAAGGAGGCGCAATCGATATTTCCAAGTTTGCTTACGAGCAAACCAATTGTGTCAATTTACATCAATTCCAAGCACGCGCTGCTCGAGCATCATTGCCGAGCGAATTACTTGTGTTTTCAATAAGCTTTTGGTAGAATGCGAAATGGTGATAAGCTTTGGTGATTCACGATGAGTACCGAGAAACGTATACCTTCGATACGATGATGGCGCCATGTCGATCAATAATGTCACCAAAGTCAGACGAATATTTAATGATTGCTCTTTTTCAAATTTTACTCGCATGCTTTCAGCATCTATCCATTTATGACAAAACGAAACTATGTCAAGTGTAAGCAATGCCTCATCAGTGAATCACAATAGCGAACAGAAAGCACAATTTGCGGTATGTCCTCATTTTACCGCTTACAGGCTGAATCGCCTTTTTGCACCTCTCGTTCTTTTTTTTTCTCGTACAAGCGCAACGACTTCTTCGAATTTCGATTCGCGATATCGATTGTTCCCTGTATGCACAGGTACGAGGGCCGATCAGCAAATAAACCGAGCCAGGTAGCCACGCCACTTGGTCGCGGCTGCGAGTGCGCATAAATCAAGCGACAAGGAGACTTCCGTGAGCTTCTTTAGTTGGATAACACTCGCGGTGACTTTTTTTTTCCTCTAGGGAATTTCAGGCGTAATTGGGACCTTCGTGCCAGCGATAAGCGGGAGGACCAACCGTGGTATTAATAAGAATTTGAATGCGAGATAAAGCTCTAAAGGTCTTTCACGGGCTATCGAGAAGGGATAACAAGGGATTCTCGGAATTGCTATAGATAGTGGAATTCCAGTGAACGCAGGGACTTTTGACGCCTTGGATGGTAAGTCGTCGGTCTAATAGGGTAGCATACCCTCGTTATGATAACAGAAGTTTAAAACGAGAGTTAGAAGTCGAACAAAGATGAAAGATTCTGCGACTTCGATACGAGTTCCGCGATTCTACAAAGATCAAAGTGTACATACGTTTATGTGCTCCTTTCACCCGTCCTTGGTAATGCAATCATTGTCGCCAGCTACCCTGTGTCGCTCGTAAAATCTCTGCCTACGCGTAACAAATCCTATTAACGTACGGTTTCACGGTACGCGTGGTCAATGATTCGGGTAGAATTTGGTAAATCGTCTAGAAACCTCAATGGATATTTCTCGCTAGCAAAATTTTTCCAAAGCAAGAGGAGTGGAAATGAAATATCAAATTTCTATTTTGAAGAGATCGTAGACAAAGCGTTAATTTATTTATGTAACGAGTGACGATAGTTAAAAAATTACGAGAACAGCTTATATGTGGGCTGAAATTTACGTACTGATAGGCTTCGTTAAAGAAAATGAAATTTGAAACACGATTCGATCGTAAAATCTCTACCTACGTTAGGACAATAGTTGCATCGCGCAATGTTGCAATTACCGATTTCTACATAGCTTACTTGATGGGATGCTTCCTTCAGTGTCGCCAGTTCCTTGCAACTTCTCGAAGAACCAAGTGTTAAATCAAAGGAGAATTTAGAAACCATTACAGTGCTTGTACTCATTCGCGAGGGAAATAAAGCGATCGTTAAAACGGGCAAACGTAACGGTGGAATTAAAAGGAGGCATAAAGTAACGCCCAAAGTGAGAACCAAAGTAATTTACGTCTGATGGTTAAGTAACTGGAGAGCTCGTAAGATCTGATTGCCTGAACGAGAAGCAACGATCGTGAGGATCTCGATTCCCTCGTAAAATCTCTGCCCACGATCGTAGAGGTCAAGCTCGTTACTGATGATGTGAAAATCTAACCGACATTTCTGTCGCTCAATAAGATTTATTTCTCTTTCGTTTTCATTTTTTCCTCCCATTTTCCTAAATTAATCCTTCAACATATTTTCTTCCATTTTATTAAATTAACCCCTTAATATATTTTCTCCCATTTTCCTAAATTAACCCCTTAACATATTTTCACCCATTTTCCTAAATCAACCCCCAAACATATTTTCTCCTATTTTCCTGAATTAACCCCCTAACATATGAAATCTTGTTAATTAATGTTAATTGAATTCCTAGAAAATCTGTTAATCCACAAAACAGGAAACCAAAGAAGGGATGTTGCCCAATCGCGAGGACAAGGATTCTCAGATCCTGTCTCTTTAGCACACGGACCTCATAGACAATCCTGTCTAACGTATTGCGCGATGTGGAAATAACAACATCGTGGATTGGCGTGGTCGAGAGAGGTGAGACGAGGTGAAGGTGCGAAGGCCATGCGAGGAAAGCAACCCGCATCGCGAACCGCCCTCTTTACCCTCCTGCACCTCTTCGTCGTTTCTCGTGCAGGTCTGCCAATGAACGGCATTCCAACGGCATCTCGGCTCACTCACTACGTTCATTGTCGAACACACACCGTGTATCCCCCCGATCCAGTCCTGCCTAAACCCAGCTCTGGCTCGATCTACCTGTCGTTCGTTCTTTCACCCCCCTACGCACGGACAATGGGCAACTGGCTTTCCTTGAGCTTGCGATTTCAATCGCGCCACTTTTTATCACGGTACTCGAAGAATCCAATCTTTCTTTTCTTACAAATCCATGGTGGATCAATGGGAAAGACGCCATTGGAACTCTTGTACACTTTTACCGAGAGAAACGTAACATTTCCAACACGGTTCCATTAAAAAGAAGTAAGAATTCGATGCCTGAAGTCGCGACGCTCATTGTTCACGGTTCACGATCGGGAGAAATTGTTTTGCGAGCGCAGTGACTGCACAAAGAAAGAATCGGTGGAACGGTGAGTCACATCGAGTGTACTCGTTTATTGACACAGAGGACGTCTGTTACTATAAAAGAAAAATGAAGAGAATAACCATTTTCAGTGAGCGATGGACAAAAAGAATTGTTTCTGTGTCGATGATCACGTCTCGAATGATATCATCTGTCCAAAATCGTCGACAAAGAGGGTTCTACTCTTGTCGCATAGTAATCGCGCAAGGATTGCACTTGTAAACGTACGCGGTTGACTCACGGATCAATTTAAAAATCTCAACATTTCTCTGCTACCGTCATTCGATACGATGCTTGCACTTCAATTCACCTCCTGCAATTATCCGGATGATGTTTGCTGTATCGATTGGAATGACTCATCAACGGTAATTAACAGATGTTACTTCAATCTTTTCAGACGTCTCAGGAGGACAAGACGTCGCTTGTTACGTCGCTCGTACAGATTCAGATCGCGTCTCTTTCGAATAAGTTTATTTTTTCCCTCGGTGTCCTTACCGAAAATGTATACCCACGCTCCTTATTTATAAAAGTAGACGGACAATGTATGCAAATTTCAACGTAATAAAAGTTAAATTGGTATCGAGCTTGAAAACAAGTTATTTATTATACGCTTTCAT